TTAAAACGGTAAAAAACCCGGGAGTAAACATTATATACCCCTTGTACCGGTATTTAAAAAATGGTATATCTTTGGGGTATAACATTTTAACACTTGTGCCGGGTTTGTTTAATAATGGTATATCAGGTAGTTAAACAAATATACACTTTGCCGGTAGTTTTTAAAAAAAGGAAATCAATTTATAACAATAACATTGTGGGGTTTAAAAAGGTATAATTTTTTTTTTTTTAGGTAGTATAACATTATACACTTGTGCCGGGGTTTTTAAAAATTTGGATAACAAGTAGTATAAAAAATATATACACTTGTGCCGGTAGTTTTAATTAAAAGGAAAATCAGGTAGTTTAAAAAATATAAACACCTTTTTGCCCGGGAGTTTAATAATGGTATTCAGGTGGAAAAACATATAGCACTTGGGGCCGGTAGGTTTTAAAAAAATGGAAATCAATAGTATAAATATACACCCTTTTTCCGGGTTTTTTTAATAATGGTATATCAAGTATAAAACATATATACACTAGGCCGGGTTTAAAAATGGTATATAGGGTAAAAACATATAAACATTTTAGCGGAAATTTTAATAATGGTTTTTCTGGGAGTATAAAAAAAATAAACACTTGGCAGGTAGTTTTAATAAAGGTATATCAAGTAAATAACCCTATATTTCACTTTACCGGGAGTTTTAAAAATTGGGGATGCAGGGGTATAAAAAAATATACACTTGTGCCGGTTTGTTTAATAATGGTAATCAAGTAGAAAAAAAATATAAACACTTGTGCCGGGTTTTAAGGTATATCAGGTAAATAACATGTATACCCCTGGGCCGGGGGGGGGGAAAAAAAAAATTTAAAAAAAAAACCCCCTTTTTTTAAAAAGGAAAAAGGGGGAAAAAAAAAATTTTTAAAAAAAAAAAAAAAAAAAAACCCTTTAAAATTTTGGGGGGTTTTTTGGGGTTTTTAAAAAAAAAATTTTTTGGGGTTTTAAAAAAAAGGAAAAAAAAAAACGGGGCCCAAAAAAAAAAACCCCCCCCGGGGGGTTTTTTCTAAAAACCCCCCCAAAAAAAATTCCCCAAAAAAATTGGGGTTTCCCCCCCCCCCCAAAAAAAAAAAGGGGGGGTTTTAAAAGGGGGGGGGGCCCCCTTTTCCCCAAAAAATTTAAGGGGGAAAAATTTTTAAAAAAAAAAAAACAAAAGAAACCCCCCCATCCCCAAAAAAAATTTAAACGGGGGGGTTTTCCCCCCCGGCCCCCGGGGAAAAACCCCCCCCCTTTAAAAAAAAAAATTTTTGGGTTTTTCCCGGGGGGGCAAAAAAAGGGGGGGCCCCCCCCGGAAAAAGGGGGGGGGGCCCTTTAAAAAAAATTTTAAAAAAAGGGGGGGAAACTTTAAATTTTCCGGGAAAATTTTTTAAAAAAAAAAAACCCTTTTTTTTAAAATTTTTTAAAAAAACATAAAATTTTTCCCCCCCCGTTTAAAGGGGGGAGAAAAAAATTTTTTTGGGGGGAAAAGGGGGAAAAAAGGGGGGGGGGGGGGGAAAAAAATTTTTTGGGGCCCCCTTTTAAAATAAAAAAAAATTTTTTGGGGGGTTTTTAAAAATTTATTTTTAAAAAACCCCCTTTTGCCGGGTTTTTTTTAAAAAAAAAAGGGTTTTTAAAAAAAACCTTTTTCCCTTTTTTTTTTTAAAAAAAATTTTAAAAAAAAGGGGGGGTTTTTTTTTTAAAGTATAAAATAAAACCCCCCGGGGGAAAAAAAAAAAAAAAATATAACCTTTCCTTTTAAAAAATTTTTTTTTTAAAAAAAAAAAAACCCCCCCTTTTTTAAAAAAAAAAAAAGGGGGAAATTAAAAATATGCCCTTTCCGGGTTTTTTTTTTTAAAAAAATAAAAATAAAGGGGGTTTTTTTAAAAAAAAAAGGGAAAAAAAAAATTTTTTTTAAAATTTTAAAAAGGGTTTTAAAAAAATTTTTGGGGGTTTTTTTTTTTTTAAAAAAAAAAAAAAAAAATTTTTTTTTTGGGGGGGGGGGTTTTTAAAAAAAATTTTTTTATAACCTTTTTGGGGGGTTTTTAAAAATTTATTTGGTAGTATAACAAAATAACCTTTTTTTTTAAAAAAAAAAAATACAAGGAAAAAAAAAATTTTTTTTTTGGGATTTAATAATGGTATATCAGGTTTTAAAAAAAAAAATAATTTTCCGGGTTTTTTAAAAAAAAACCCGGGAGTTAAAAATTTTCACTTTGCCGGTTTTTTAAAAGGAAAAAAAAAAAAAAAAAATTTTTTTTTTTAATTTTTTGGGGGGGGTATAAAAAAATTTTTTTTTGCCGGTATTTTTTAAAATTTTTTTTAAAATAAAAAAAGGGGGAAAAAAAAATTTTGGGGGTTTTTTTAAAATATAATTTTTTTTTTGGGGGGAAAAAGGGTTTTAAAAAAAACTTTTTTTTTGGAAAAAAAAACCAAATTTTTTAAAAAATTTTTTTTAAAAAAAAAAAATTTTAAAAAAATTTTAATTTAAAATTTTTTTTTAAAAAAAAATTTTTAAGGGGGGTTTTTTTTTTTTTCCCGGGAGTTTAAAAAAAAAAATTTTTTTAAAGTTTTTTAAAATTTTATAAATTGTTTGGGAAAAAAAATTTTCTTTTTTTTAAAAAAAATTTTTTTAAAAATTTTTTTTAAAAAAAATTTTTAATTTTTTAAAATTAAAATTTGGGGTTTTTTTTTTTTTTTAAATTTTAAAAAAGGGTTTTTAAATAAAACCTTTTCCTTGGGAAAATTTTTGTTTTAAAAAAAAAATAAAATTTCCCTTTTTTTTTTAAAAAAAAAAATTTTTTTTTGGGGGGTTTGGGTTTTTTTAAAAAAATTTTAAAAAAAAAAAAAAAAAAAAAATTTTTTTAAAAAATTTTTGGGGGGTTTTAAAAAATTTTTTTAAAAAAAAAAATTTTTGGGGGGGAAAAAAAAAAAGGGAAAAAAAATTTTTGGGGGTTTTTTTAAAAAATGGGTATTAAAATTTTTAAAAAAATTTTTTTTTGGGGGTTTTTAAAAAATTTAAAAAAAATTTTAAAAAATAAATTTTTGGGGGGTTTTTTTAAAAAGGGGGAAAAAAAAAAATTTTTAAATTTCCGGGAGTTTAAAAAATGGGGGTAAATTTAAAAAAATTTAAAAACTTTTGCCGGTAGTTTTTAAAAATGGGGATATCAAGTAGTATTTAAAAAAATTTTTCCTTTGGGGTTAAAAAATTTTTGGGGGGAAAAAAAAAATTTTTTTTTTTTAAAAAAAAGTAATAAAAAAAAAAATTTTGGGGGGGTTTTTAAAAAAAATTTTTAATAAAAAATTCCCGGGTTTTTTTTTAAAAAAATTTTTTTTTTAAAAAAAAAATTTCCGGGGGGGTTTTTTTTTTAAAGGTAAAATTTTAAAAAAAAAATTTTTTTTTGGTTTAAAAGGGTTTAAAAATTTTTTTCCTTTTTTAATTTTAAAAAAATTTTTAAAAAAAACCTTTTTGGAAAAAATTAAATTAAAAAAATTTTTTTTAAAAAAAAAAAAAGGGGGGGGGTTTTTTTAAAAAAGGGGGGTTTTAAAACCTTTTTAAAAAAAAACCTTTTTTTTAATTTTTTAAAGAAAATTTTTAAAAAAAACCTTTTTTTTTAAAAAAATTTTTAAAAAATTTTTTTTAAAAAAAAAATTTTGGGGTTTTTTTTAATAAAAAATTTTTTTAAAAATTTTTGGGTTTGGTTTAAAATTTAAAATTGTTCCCGAAAAAATAATTTTTTTTTTTTTAAAAAAAAAAGGGTAAAAATAAATTTTCCGGTTTTAAAAAAAAAAATTTTTTTAAAAAAAAAAATTTTTTTTTGGGGGGTTTTTTTAAAAAAATTTTTTTTAAAAAAATAAAAATTTTTTTTTTTTAAAATTTTAAAAAAAAAAAAAAGGGAAAAAATTTTTTAAAAATTTTTTCCTTTTTAAAAAAAATTTTTTTCCCCCAAAATTTAAAAAAAATTTTTTTTTGGGTTTAAAAATTTTTTTGGGGGCCAAAAAAATTTTTTTTTTTTTTTAATTTTAAAAAATTTTTTTTTTTTAAATTTTAAAAATTTAAAAAAAACTTTGGGGAAAAAAAAATTTTTTTTTTAAAAAAAAATTTTGGGGGGTTTTTTTAATTAATATTAAATTTTTAATTTTTTAAAAAAAAAAATAAAATTTTTTTAAAAAAAGGGGTTTTTAAAATTTTGGGGGGAAAAAAAAAAGGGGTTTTAAAAAATTGGTGGGTTTTTTTTGGGGGTTTTTTTGGTTTTAAAAAAAAAAAAGGGGGTTTTTTTTTTTTTTTAAAGGGGGGTTTTTTAAAAAAAAAAATTTTTTTTTTAAAAAAAAAAAAGTTTAAATTTAAAAAAAATTTTTTTTTTTTTGGAGACCAGGAATAACTGTACTGGATGGAGACACGTCTCAGAAGGATCGTCATGGACGTGTTCCTGAACTTAATGAACCTCGGTTGTGACATGTAATTTACTATACCTTTATTTTATTATTTTCTTAACATCAGATAGGTTTCACTATGTAAGTATTTCCAAAGAAACTGACTAGGTCGGACTTTTTCCTACAAAAATACCACATCCAAAAACTCCCATAAATCTTCCCACAAAAGAATGAAATTCCCACAGAAAAAATCCCACAGTTTTATGGCATAAATATCCTAACACAAACGTTCCCACGTGAGATCATTTCTCCCACAAATTTATGAGAATTTCCGTCAAAATGGCAACACGCAGTAAAGAATAAGTGGAACACGAAAACAGACGTGTGCAGGACGTGTGAGCTTGTACCGTCCACTCTCCCTAACAGTAGACACTATACATTGTATTACCAGATTTATACATGTCTAAAGTAACTAATTTAGACACATTTATATTGATAACCTAATTCCTATATCCATATATAATTACATAATAAATATTAGACCTTATTAAGGCTTATTAATCAATATAGAATATAAAGTAAGTGTCAACTGTCTCCCTGACTGTGCTGAGAGGCAGCAGCTGGCGGAGGTGTGTTAGTCATGACGCAACCATACTCATGGTTCGTTTACCTATATAAGTGGAATATTTCGTGTACAGTTTACATAGACATTGCTTCTATATACAAGAGTTAGCCTACGAACTCTAAGTGACAAGATAGAAAGAGAACATTGTTCTATATATGTTGCAAATTTCAAGGACAGAAATAGACAACTTAAGTTGGTACGGAATTTCTCCTCTACGGTGGCACAGGCTAAGCTGACCTTACACGGTAATTACATGATATCGTCTCCAGTGATACAGGCTAGGCTTATGTTAACGGTAACTACATGATATCTCCACAGTGACACAGACTAAGCTTATCTTAAACGGTAGCTACATGATATCGTCTCCACAGTGACACAGGCTAGGCTTATGTTAATGGTAACTACATGATATCTCCACAGTGACACAGGTTAAGCTTATATTAAACGGTAACTACATGATAACGTCTCCAAGTGACACAGGCTAAGCTGATCTCATAGTACATGATCTCATTTTTAGTGACGTTACTTATACTAATCTCACATGAGTGGGTTATTTGTGAATAAATATTAATTTCAGCAATATTACCAATATAGTTTTAGCCATTAAATTTGTTTAGCTATTATAGGCTTAAATTGATTTATAAGCAAGAGTGGCCTTGGCATAACAGGAAGGCCATTCCATTTCTTTATTAATATATATATATGGTAGGTGCTCGAGACATGGCCACCTACTGCACGTATTACAAAATATTACATAATAACGTTCATTTCCCTTGATACAGTATTGACATATTTTCGATAGCCCAAATAGTGTATTAGTTAGTGTTATAATAGTATAACATGTAGTGTAATAATAGTATAACATAGTGTAATAATAGTATAACATGTAGAGTAATAATAGTATAACATATAGTGTAATAATAGTATAACATGTAGTGTAATAATAGTATAACGTAGTGTAGTAATAGTATAACGTGTAGTGTAATAATAGTATAACATGTAGTGTAATAATAGTATAACATGTAGTGTAATAATAGTATAACGTAGTGTAATAATAGTATAACATATAGTGTAATAATAGTATAACATGTAGTGTAATAATAGTATAACATGTAGAGTAATAATAGTATAACATATAGTGTAATAATAGTATAACATATAGTGTAATAATAGTATAACGTAGTGTAGTAATAGTATAACGTGTAGTGTAATAATAGTATAACATGTAGTGTAATAATAGTATAACATGTAGTGTAATAATAGTATAACGTAGTGTAATAATAGTATAACATATAGTGTAATAATAGTATAACATGTAGTGTAATAATAGTATAACATATAGTGTAATAATAGTATAACATGTAGTGTAATAATAGTATAACATAGTGTAATAATAGTATAACATATAGTGTAATAATAGTATAACATATAGTGTAATAATAGTATAACATGTAGTGTAATAATAGTATAAACATAGTGTTAATAATAGTAAAACATAATAGTGTTATAATAGTATAACATGTAGTGTAATAATAGTATTAACATATAGTGTAATAATAGTATAACATATAGTGTAATAATAGTATTAACATATAGTGTAATAATGTATAACATATAGTGTAATTAATAGTATAACATATGTGTTAATAATAGTATAACATATAGTGTAATAATAGTATAACATGTAGTGTAATAATAGTATAACGTGTAGTGTAATAATAGTATAACGTGTAGTGTAATAATAGTATAACATATAGTGTAATAATAGTATAACGTGTAGTGTAATAATAGTATAACATATAGTGTAATAATAGTATAACATATAGTGTAATAATAGTATAACGTGTAGTGTAATAATAGTATAACATATAGTGTAATAATAGTATAACGTGTAGTGTAATAATAGTATAACATATAGTGTAATAATAGTATAACATATAGTGTAATAATAGTATAACATATAGTGTAATAATAGTATAACGTGTAGTGTAATAATAGTATAACATATAGTGTAATAATAGTATAACATATAGTGTAATAATAGTATAACATATAGTGTAATAATAGTATAACATATAGTGTAATAATAGTATAACATATAGTGTAATAATAGTATAACATATAGTGTAATAATAGTATAACATATAGTGTAATAATAGTATAACATATAGTGTAATAATAGTATAAAATGTAGTGTAATAAATAATAGTATAACGTGTAGTGTAATAATAGTATAACGTGTAGTGTAATAATAGTATAGTCTCAGTAGTACCAGTTACCAGTTACCAGTAACCAGTTACCAGTAACCAGTTACCAGTAACCAGTTACCAGTAACCAGTTACCAGTAACCAGTTACCAGTAACCAGTTACCAGTAACCAGTAACCAGTAGATGACTCACTACCAATTTTTGCCCCATCCACGTTATATAACCCACATGACAATAGCAGGTAGTGCAACACGTACATACTTGTGCAACACTCCACTGATGCTATCAATAAAAAGTATATTTTAGCAAAACTTTAACCTTAAGATTGAGCAGCATAATGAAGAAAAATAATAAACTCAGTTACAAAATATAGGTTATAAGTAAGTCATAGTTCACCTTTGTATTTATGATCATTTTCCCAAAACAAAGAATGTCTGTGGCTGTACTTTTTATTACTCATGTCGTCCGGTCTTGAGAGGGGCAAATAGTATATTCTTAGAGTAGAAGTGAGTTAAGAAATGAATGGATTTGTATCAGTGGGTGGAGACCAGCGAGAAGTATACAGGATGGAAACACATCCCAGACGGATCGCCATGGACGTGTTTCATTGTCAGATGTAATTTGCTCATACCATTATTCCCCTCAAGGAAGGTTCCTTGATGTTGGTGAGGGGCTCTTGATTTAGGGAATTGGATCTGTGCTCCAGTTCCCCGAATTAAGCCTGAATGCCTTCCACATCCCCCCCCCCTCGGGCGCTGTATAGTCCTCCGGGTTTAGCGCTTCCCCTTTGATTATAATAATAATAATCATACCATTATTTTATTCTTTTCTTAATTAACATCAGATAGGTGTCGCTATGCGAATATTTTCAGAAGAAATTGACGAGGTTGGACTTTTCCCACACAAAAATTCCACATAACAAAACTCCCATAAAAGATCCCACAAAAGAAAAATTCCCACAGAAAAGCCCACAGTTTTATGGCATAATTATCCTCCCACAAACTTTCCCACGTGAGGTCATTTCTCCCACAAATTTATAAGAATTTTCATTCAAAATGATAACTCATAAGTTTAGTCCGAATAGTTGCAAATTTGAAATTTTAGTGAAATAGTTTCAAAACTTTGAATTGGTGGAATCAGATCAATTGCTAACGAATACGTTTTCTGATCGGCTTTGAGCTGTGTAAATTTCAATTTGCCAATTTTATTAAGCAAATTGTTTTCCATGTCATAACTAATGAATGCCTCCTCTTAACAGCTTTAAACCTTAAAAGGAGGCGTATTTTAAATATTTTCGTATTGTGATCACAAATTTGTGGGTTCCAGTTTAACATTGCTTTTTGCTGCCAATTTTATATCAGGTTTTAATCTTAGTTTGAGACTTTTACCAGTTTGACTGTAATAAACTTCATCGCATATTTTACGGGTGTTTCTATACGACTCCTGGTAAAATATGCTATAAAGTTTATTACAGTCAAACTACTAAAAGTCTCTAAGATTAAAACAAATTAAATATAGAGTTAGAACTGTACAAGATTCTAATGCTCTATTTATTCATCTGAGAGATTTTCACCATCCAATTGATTTTCAAAATGTTGAGAAAGGTGTATTAGGCAAGTCCATGGTCGACAGGAATATAATAGAATCATGTTTCATAAAAAGTAGTTTGAAAATAATATAAATATAAATTATGGTTCATATAAATTGGATTCATTTATAATTAATAAAATTTGGGAAGAATATAATGCTTGGGTAGACTATCAGGTGAGTTTCACAGAGTCAGGTGTTATGATGTGACTGTGAGGTGTATACTTGTTGTGGTGACGTGACTGTGAGGTGTAGACTTGTTGTGACGTGACTGTGAGGTGTAGTCTTGACCCTTTATATGCCTACCTGTTGATGTTTTGTTTTTTATAATTCCTTGATATTATGAGAAGTCACCAAAGTCCCTGTCCCTGACTTGCTTTCGTACCTTGAAGAGGAACTAAAAAACTTCCCCAACCCTACCCCACGAAAACAATAATTGAATTGATAAAACTTTGTGTTACTAATTACAAATTCGTGTTTGAAGGGAAATACTACGCTCAAAAACAAGGCATGACAATTGGAAATCCCCTAAGCCCTTACTCAGCAAACCTATGTATTGAATTCTATGAGACCAGACTTCTTAACGACATTCTCCCAAATAAAGCTAGTTGGTTCAGATACTTAGATTATGTTCTTTGCCTGTTGCCTAATGATCATAACATTCATGAGTTCCTACCCAGACTCAATGCCACAATACATTCCATTAAGTTCACCACAGAACATGAAATAAATAACACTTAGCCATTCCAAGATGTTTTAATCCATTGTGTCGATAGAAAATTCAAATTAACAGTTTATAGGAAGTCCACCAATGTGTCGTCATACATTCACTTACTATTCCAACCATGAAACCGGGGTAAAAAGTAGTGTGTTCCTCACAGTGTTCTTGAGGGCCTTGTGCATCTGCAATCCAGAGTACTTAGAGGACGAAATCAGCAAGATATTCAACATAGCCACAAAACTGAGGTATCCTAGGGATTTTGTAGAGAAGGCATTAATGTCAGCAAGAAAGACTTTCTACAGGACTGAACCTCAGGAAGTGATGGCCAGGAAAAATATACTAGTTTAACCATACAATGAGAATCTGGTTTGCCTACATGAGGCGTTAAAAAAGATCAATATAAACCTTGTTTTCAAAAACACGGGGACAGTGAAACAAAGACTGATTAAAAACACACACTCCAACAAAGTTGGTGGGGTATACAAGGTCCCATGTACACAGTGTCCTCTCTCTTATATAGGTCAAACAGGTAAATTTCTGGAAACCAGAATAGCCCAACATAAATACTCAGTCAGGACAGGGCAGGAGTCGAATGCTATCTTTAATAACCACGTTAGTTCATGTAATCACCCACCGGAATGGGATGGTGCCGAGATTACAGTACCAAACAATTCTGTCATAGAAACAATTAAATCTTCCCTCTTGAAACATTAAAGGAATACAGTATATA